CTTGGTGTTTCCAGGCAGATTCTGCTGTCATTGGGAAACCTGCAGCCATAAGCCAGGAGATWATGTGGGTGAGGAGGGAAGAGCAGCATGTAGAAGGGATGGGGGAAGTGCCATGGCTCACGTGGGCTTGACACCTTTACAAGAWGGGCTTTCCTCATTAGACACACACAGCTCTGGGAACAGTCTGATCTCATCTCACTTCTCAGGGCCTCTGAGTCAGGACATTCCTCACACGGCCTTGAGCAGACATTCTCTGCTTTGTTCTTGCATCATCCAAGCCAATGCCTRTTCCCTGACTGTCAAGAGAAACAAAGCAGCMATGGAGGGAAGCAATCATAGTGGATGCAGTCTCCTGGCAGAAGGATGGGCACCTGCATGSCCGGCAYATCACCAGCTGCTGGCCTTGGGCTTGCCACATCTTAATGCAGCATCTGTGTCCTTGCAGCAGGAATTTCTGCTGCTGCTGGARCAGGCGCCCAAGGGAAGGAGRGTCTGAGCTGCAGCAGGGTCTGAGCCATCAACATCTGCACCAAACTGGGCTCCATCRGGCTGTGCCTYGGGCTGCCAGAGGCTCCCATGTACCCGTACCGGRCCAGCAAGGTGAGGTGCAGGGGAGGTGCTGGGGATGCTGTGCCAGGCACAGGGCCCATGGAGGGGAGGGAGCCCATGGGGCACCCCCTGCCCCAGCCAYGCACTCACTGCCTGGTTCTCACAGAGACTGGGACAGCAGCACYGGGGACTGAACCTCTCAGGAGGGTTGTGCTGATGTTTTGTCCCAGGACCAAGTCCCATTTCCCACCTTCATAGCCATTCTGCCCAGGAAATGTCYCCTCTCCTGCCCACCCATACTCTGGCTTGTGGTAGCAGGGCTGTGCCTCTTTCAGGCTGCCCAGTAGATGGGGATGAGGTGCTTGGCTGTGGAGCTTCGAGAAGGGCTTGGGATGCCTCTTTTCTCCCCTTTCCCACTCCTCCTGTGCCCCTCTGGTCCCTCTATACCCCCCATCTCTATAAACTCTKGCAGCTGATGCCTCTCTGCTCCATCTCCACACTCARTCTGAAACCCCTGGTCTGAGCYGGGCACAGGATCCCTGTGCTCTGCCCGAGTGCTGYGTGTCCCTCTGTCCCACCTGTGACCAGGCATCCCCCWGCTGAGGGGAGAKGGCACCTGGTCCCTGTGACCCCCAGCCCCTCAGAAAACCCAGCCTTTCCCCAGTCCTGCAGGAGCTCAGAAGATCTCTYTCCCCTCAGGAGAGGGGACCTGCTCCAGCTTCTCCAGTGCCTCCTGGAGGGGAGGTCTCCAGAGGGCACTCACGGTGCCATGGGACCTGCAGGTTGTCACTCATGGGGATGCCAGTGACAGCTGTGGGTCAGGGGCAGCTGTGGGCACCACCTCATGTGGGAAGGGGCCATCCCGNAGCCAAGATTGGAAGAAGTCTTTGCCCCTCCCAGGGCAAAGGGGAAAGCTGAAAACCCAGAACATCCTGGACAGAGGGACTGAACAGGGAACTGAGGGGATGRGSGCACCYAGCAGCCAGGACCAGGACAGGGAGAGCTGCCCCAGCAGCCATTGGGCAGGCAGGGAATTCATGGGCGGGAGCTCAGGGCAGCAACTCCCACMCATGGAAAATGAGCACAGAAGATCTGATGGACCTGCCCCAATTGAATTCCTACCGTGTATCCAGTAGAGCCGCCCAACTCAGTTTGCACCCAGCCAGGGTGGAGAGCGATACAGAGGATGCCATGCTCTTTGTATGCCAGGGACTGGCACTTGGTCAGCATGTTCAGAGCAGCCTGTGGGGAGACAGGGAGGGGATGGTGGTGGCATGGAAGGGGTATTGTAAATGGACCCACAACACCTGGGACAGGACACGGGAAGTAAATTTGTCCCCAGCCCATGTGACAATACCTTGCTGCAGCGGTATGACACAACTTGCATCTGCTCCCAACCAAAGGAACTAGCAATGGAGCCACCAATGCTGGAAATGTTGACAATGGCAGCCTTGCTGCAGCTCAGCCCTGAGCCTGGGCTCCCCTGGGCAGCCTTCTTCAGCAAGGGCAGGAATGCCTGTGAGGACACAGAGGKGACARGAGCACACATGGATGTGGCACAGGGCAGGGGAGCAGCTYCTTCCACAGTGGGAAACTTGGCACCAGCACTGGAGCATCCTCCTCTTCCCTGCCAGGCTCCAGCTCCTGAGCTCCAGCCCATGGYTCCAGAAACTTCTCATCAACTGAGAGCCCACAGAGCACCTGAGCAATGATGGGAGCCCCTCCCACTGGCCCTTCAGATCTACTCTGTTGTTCAGTTTGGGACAAAGGAGGGATTCTTCTGTAGTGCAGGATACTCACCTGGCCTATCAGCAGGGGCCCAGTTGTGTTGGTGGTGTAAGTCTCGGTCATGTCCTCCAATGTTTCATCCTCAAGGTTCTTAGACTTCACCATTCCCGCATTGTTGATGAGGAGGGTCAGCCCAGAGCCCCCCAGGTGCTCCCCAACCTTGGCTGCAGCTGCCTTGATGCTGGCGGGGTTGGCAACTTCTGCAGAGCCAACAYAGGGGAGGTCAGTGTCCCTGTGGTGCTTTRGTGTCCCCTGTGTCCCCCAGGGATGTGCCCTCACAGCTGCCTCCAGTGTGGAGCTCCCAGGGCTGTGATGAKTGCCCTGGCATKCACCAGAGGAACTGRGCTGAGACGGAACGTACCGAGAGCGATGATGACCAGGTTGGGATGTTTGGARGCCAAATTCTGTAACTCCTGCAAGAGGGGTGGCAGCGTTGGCACCAACAGGCTGGAGCAGCTGTGCCAAGGCTCACCCAGCACAGCCAGCCAGAGCCYGTGTCCCTCCAGCTCTGTCCCTGCTCCCCCTGATGCCCAGACCCTGCTCCAGCTGCCCTGATCTCGATACACAGGGAACATTCTCCATCTCTTGCACACACCACACACCTCTGTCCCCTCCACACATCCCATGCACAGCTGCCCCCACCGTGTCCCAGCCCAGCTGCCCTGGACTATGGGCACCTGACTGCAAATGCCATCCCTGATCCAATCTYCCCCTGGCACTGAGTGCTCYCATCTYYCAGCACAGCCACTGCCTCCCRGCCCAGYCTCACCTGTGCTCGCTGTCCCTTGGGGTCCCGACAGGTCGCAAAGATCCACTGAGGTGGTTTTGGCATCCTCAGAAAATGCTGGACAAACCCCAGACCGAGGCCACGGTTGGCTCCAGTCACCAGAACGGAGCGTACACACAGCTCTCCCATGTTGTTTCTTCTCTCTCTACTACAGCTTGCACTGGTTGCTCAGCTCTCTGATACTTCCTTATAGCATGTCCCACCCCACTGACTCAGGGCTTGCACCAACCCTTGGCTTCTGTCCAGGAGGAGTAAATGTTCCCGCTTTTTGAGCTCAAGCACATAGCTCCTGGCTGGGGACCAATCCTAGTTATCTAACAGCAATAATCGCTTGGCTTTTCCAGACATATTCTGCTGTCCTTGGGAAACGTGGTGCCATAAGCCAGGTCGGGCTGTTTTGGGTGAGGAGGGAGGGAGTGTGGGTCATAGTGGAAACCTCCATGGCTCAGGTGGGCTTGACAYCTTCACAAGCATCCTTTGGGCTCAATGGTCTTTTCACATTGTACCAGGCTGTGCCCCAGATGGCTCTGAGCAGATATTTTCTCTACTTTGCTCCTGCCTCTTCCAAGACAATAACCTCACCCTCATTGCTGAGCCAAAGACCTGTGGAGTGTGAAAGCAAACTTGGTGTGGTCTCCTGGCTGAAGGGTGGGGACCTGCATGGCTGGCACAGCGCCACACTGCTGGTCACGCGCCCCATCCCTTGGGATGCGCTCCTAAGTTGAGCTGTCCTTTTGTGCAGAGCCACAGAGGACTCAGGCACCCAGGACATTCACCTGCAAAGGAAATGCCCTGCTCAAAGCCCATTCTCCACCTCATCTGTGTCCACGGGGCACTGACCATTCTGTGGCACCACCAGCGGAGCCCAGGGCAGTCCGGTACCTCGAGTGATGCATTACAGGTTTGGTAGGCTGGATCTGCTGTGTGTGTACATCATGTGTTCCTGCCCCATTGTCAGTAAAGACACATCCCCAGAAACCTCTTGCCAACCCCTTGTATTTCTAYGTTGAGTCCCAGAGCCCTTGCACAGGTTGCTGGGCAGCAATGGAGACAACACCACTGCTCACATTTCACCTTCTGCCCCAGGATATCTTGGCAGCAGCATTAACCACGGCAACTTCCTCCCAGTGGCAGTGCCAAGTATGTCTCTGTGCTCCAGCAGCAGCTGATTTCCTCCTGCCCACTCCAGCCTGTTTTCAGCTAGCAGACACTGTGAGATAAGCAGGTCCCTGCTCCAACCTGGCACTACCTGCACAGRGCACTCTCCCCAAATCCATTTGTGGGGATGGCACATTGGCAGTCACTATGGGAAGCTGACGGCATATCTTCTCTCTGCCCCTTTCCTTGTCTCTGCGAAGTCTGAGCCTTCCCCGTTTCATTTCCTGAGGTTAATTGGAGGCTTTTGGAATTTTCCACACTGRGTTGAGAGACTTCTTTTCCCTTGTGAATTCTTACCACACCTACCAGCAGTACAAAGCTTGGGTCTTTCAGCTTTTGTCTCAGACTGATCTCTMACTGAGGATCTCCCAGATGGCTGGACTGGCATTCAGGTTCCATAGATCATTTCAGTATTTCCTTTTAAATGAGCACAGACCTCAATTACACTTGCCAATAGATGCCATTTGCACCAGAGCTCYAATCTTTCAAATTGACTTCCATAGTTTTCTTCCTCTGGGTGGAGGATGAGGCCATCACCCACAATCTGAAACCTCCACAGTGCCTCAGAACCAGATAGCATCAGAAATCAAATCATTACCATTTTAAGTCTCCAAATTYTTGCTGTGTCACCACATTTGTGCAGCCTTCCACTGTACTGGAGCTGTAACTTTGTAATGTTGACTTTGGTCTGAGGCCCCATGCTGTATTATTGATTACTGGAGTTTAAACAAGCGCTGTGTCAGCAGGAGTCTGGGTTTAGCCTGGCATGAAGAGGCAGAGGGGAAAGAAACAACGTCACTACCTTACAGCCCAGACTCGTCACAAGGGGTGCTGCTGTCCCCAAGCCTCTGGAAGGGATCTTGTTCCCACWCCGAAGAGGGGATTCAGATGGTTCCTTTGCTCTGAAATGTTCTTGCATGGTCTGAACCTTAAGCTGAGCATTAAAGTCCTCAGAATCACAGAATCATTTAGGTTGGAAAGAGCCTCTAAGGTCATCTATTTCAACAGTTAAGCTAACACGGCCAATTCCACCACTAAAACATGTCCCCAAGTGCCACATCCACGCATTTTTTAAACTCTTCTGGGATAGTGACACCACCACTTTCCTGGACAGCCTGTACCAGTGCTTGACAGTCCTTTCTGTGGAGGATTTTTTCCTAACATGCAACTGAAATGTCCCCTGGCACAACCTGAGGCTGTTCCTCTCATTCTATCACTTGTTAATTGGGAGCAGGGCCCGACCTCACCTGGCTACACCCTCCTGTCAGGGATTTGTACAGAGTGATAATGGCCCCCYGAGCYTCCTTTTCTCCAGGCTGAGCTCTCTCCCACCTCCCTCAYCACCTYCTTATCAGACTCTCCCMTCCCTCATCACCTCCTTATCAGACTTTTGTTTCAGACTTCCTCAGCTCCATTGTCCTTCTCTGGACTCCCTCCAGCACCTCAATGTCTTTCTCGCTGTGGGTGGCCCAAAACTGAACGGTTTTCAGGTGCAGCCTCACAAACACCAAGCTCAGGGGCTCTGCAGCTCCTCTCCCACGATCCCCCAGGCTGCAGCACACTTTACCTATGGGTGCTTTTCACATCGCCACGCTGGGGAGACTTGGAGCCAGTTTTCCAAGGGACAGTCACACATCATCCACCCTGAGCTGCTGGAGGCTTAAGTGTGCTCTCAGTCACCGAGGTGATTGCACAATGACAGTGCTGCCCACAGAAACATGGAAGAACACGCTTTTCTCTGCCTGCCAGGGGAACAGGGGTGTGGCACAATTAGTACATTTAATCTACTGTAAATAAGAAATAAACTCGCTGCTATTTATCAAGCCGATTTACTCCACTTTGCATTCACGTCTGTCATCACACATTAATCACTTGCTAAAGAATCAATAGATAGTGGTGAGTGAGCCACTGATCAAGAGGAGGGGTGAGGCCGACCCAGCACTGTAACTAAAGCCAGGCAGTACCCGCCCTCCTTGACTCATTTTCTTTTGGGCTGAAGAGGATTAGTGATCTGGTGGGGGGTTGTGGCACGAGGGTTGGAACTACATGATCTGAAAGGTCTCTTCCAAAAAAAAACATGCTGTGATTCTACAATACGATTCCACTAGTGACATCCTATTGCAAAAGGATGCAGGGACTAGGGGATAGAGCGTGAGCTTAACTGCAGCTTCCGAGTGAAGTTCCCCTGGCACCTTTGTCGTGGCTTTGCTGTTTTCCAAGCAGATTCATCCAAGTTGCACCCGCATTGTATCAGAGCTGGAGAGGGACTTTGGGCAAGGGCATGGAGTGGCAGAACATGGGGAAAGAGGGCAGGSTTAGATYAGATATTTGGAAGAAATTCTTCCCTGTGAGGTGGGGAGGCCCTGGCAGAGATCACAGAGAATGCATGGTCCATGCTTGGAAGTGTTCAAGGCCAGGYTRGGTGGGGCTCTGAGCAACCTGGTCCAGGGGCAGAGGGTGGAACAAGATGGTCTGTAAGGTTCCATGCAATCCAAACTATTCTGTGATTCCAAGACTCTGGGGATTTAAAATGCTCACACCGTCCATGCAACCTCCCTTGGGCCACAGCGTTTGGACCTTGTGTCACCCGGGGGCCTCACACTGTATTCTGTTTCTGCGAATATTCCCCTCGTGGCAGCAGCCAAGATTCCTCAGCTACCTGGGTGCAGCTACCTGTTGACCACACAGACAGAAACACTTTGCCAGGACTCATGGTGACCGTGCAGATCCTCATTGACCTTCTGTCCTGCCATCCTCTATGGATGGATGTTACCCTTCCTGCTTCAGCATAATGCCATGAAGAGGGACCTCAGAACCACCAGGCAAGACAGATTTGCTTTCCCACTATTAGATTTGGTAACAAAGGTGGCTGACAACGGGTTGTCACATGTGGCAGATATGCTCCATCTCAGGAGCACCAAGGCACAGGCTAAATCATCAGCTTGTGACTGCCTCGGTTTGACATCCATATGTTRAAGTGAGAAAAGGAGGCAGATCTTAGTTTAGGAATAAATACGGTGATAATGCAAATGTTAATTTAGGAATCCAGTTGAAAASAATCATTAAGTCTTAKTWAGGAAAGACATTCAAGCATGAAAGRGTGRGTACAATCCTTAAATTAAAAGGCATATAAAGAACTATTGAAAATCTACTTCCTGCAAAGAAGTTAAAAGCTGAGAACCATGCCACTCCAAAAATGCCATGCCAGCCTAGGTGATGTGACCTATTGCCCACACTGCTGAGCAGAAAAATGCAACCTGTGAACAGCAAAAACTCGTATTGTTCTGTAAGTAGCTGTGGACACTGCTTGAGTAAAATGGGGTGCATTGGTGTTTTATCAGCAGAAACGAAAACTTACTWACAAAATATAAATATTTTGTTTCTGAAGTATTTATCAGTAGCAGRGATGTTTTGCCTAGTGTTTRTCAAATAAGGATGAAAGTAAGTTGTTTGTTCTGGTTTCAAACCACATTTGTAAAAGGGGAGGGTGAAAAACCCCACTTACCTGTTTTTAAAATTGTTTTCCCCCTCCCTCTAACTGCATTTTTTTCCAACTTCAGTGACTGAAGCAGCACTTATGATACATTCATCAGCTCAGRGCAAAGGACATGTGCCCACATGTATTTTGTTCTTTACAATGCAGAAACTTTAACCAAATTACAGCATCAATGAGCTGATAACAGGAATGACTCGTTTTGATTTTTAGCTAAGTGAGYTCAAATACTTCTTTGTACTCTCAGGGAGGTCTAGTGGAAGGTGTGCCTGCCCACGGCAGAAGGGGTGGAACTAGGTTATCKTTAAGGTCCATTCCAACCCAAAACAATCTACAATTCTATGATTTATAYCCTCAAAAGATCCAAAATTCAGGAATATCAGACTCATGCTTTACGAGGCAGCAGGAGTTTCACAATGCCTGTCGCAGTGAAACCAGAGCACTTGGACATGCCTTGGGGCTTTTCGGTTTATTATTATTCATTGGTGTTCTCTTTTCGGTTGCATTTCTCATTATTACCTGCT